AGTACGCTTGAAAGTAACAACACTTCGATACATGTTCTTCAATCGAATGGCCAACAAACGATCAACACCGATAATTGCTATAGTCAAGAGAGACTCTGCCCCCATCCAATATCCAAGCATTTTAAGAGCAAGCCAAACGCCACAGAAAACATCTTTTAAATTCAATAGAACTCTGATGTTTTCAACGACGGCCAACGGCTGTACAATGGCGCCCGAGATAAAGTCYGTAAGAGCAAGATTTGCTATCAGAATGTAAGAAGGCTTGTGTAAAGCAGGAGTCTTCCAGATCGTGTAGAGGACAAGAGCGTTCAAAAATGTTGCTGAGACGGCTGTTGTCGCGAATACCACAGATTCAGATATTCGGTAATCTGGTAGCTTAAGATGAAATTCGTCGTAACTACAGCCAGCCTTCATTTTGTATCATACATAGAACACAACTAAAGAGATTTGAACAGAAATCCCCAAACAGACTGTAAATCCACCTGTTAAAAATTCAAAAAAATAATATCAGTATTTTAAATAATGTTTACTGGAACGCGTTTTTATCACAAGAGATGACAAATTTTTCTTATGTTCGATATCCTTCCCGGTGTTCGATAATTGCTGTATTTGGTCGTATATATTCGATGACAAAGCAAATAGCCAAGTTTACATGACGGGGCTCATAACTTTGAAGAAACCCCTGACAGAAATATTAATTAAAGAGCATTCCATGTAAAAGCTGTATTGATTCTAATGCTGCTATATATTTAATTCTTTTCAATCTTTCAAAGTAATATAATCTTATTCTACACCTATCCAGCTACTACTAGAACAAGAACAAATGATTCACGCCCTTGTCTGGACAGAAGATAGATTTAAAGAGATTGAAAACCATGAACATATTCTTGTAACTAGGACAATCAAAATAATTTGCAGTAATTTGTCTCTTTAACTCATTTATAAATACTTTGATGTAATTAAAACAGGAGTTTTGGAATGCATACAAATAAACCATCTTGGAAGAAATAGCAGTAACACTGTCATCTGATGATACATCTGAGTCCGTGAAATCTCAGTTTAACTAGCAAGATCTGGACATCCTTTGATAAAGTGTTTTCCACTAAAAAGGCGATATATAGGGACCCTCCATTCGATTTAAACCCGAGCTATTCGCTGATTGAATCCATTCGATTTTGACCTATGTTATTCGCTGATTGAATCTATTCGATTTTAACCCGTTTTATTCGCTGATTGAATCTATTCGATTTTAACCCGTTTTATTCGCTGATTGAATCTATTCGATTTTAACCCGTTTTATTCGCTAATTGGATACATTCGATTTTGACCCATGTTATTCGCTAATTGAATCCCATTCGATTTTGACACATGTTTTTCGCTAATTGAATCCATTCGATTTTGACCCGCGTTATTCGCTAATTGAATCCATTCGATTTTGACCCGTGTTATTCGCTAATTGAATCCATTCGATTTTGACCCGTTTTATTGGATAATTGGATCCATTCGATTTTGACCCGTTTTATTCACTAATTGAATCCATTCGATTTTGACCCATTTTATTGGATAATTGGATCCATTCGATTTTGACCCGTGTTATTCGCTAGTTGAATCCATTCGATTTTGACCCGTGTTATTCGCTAATTGAAGCCATTCGATTTTGACCCGTATTATTCTCTAATTGAATCCATTCGATTTTGACCCGTATTATTCGCTAATTGAATGCATTCGATTTTGACCCGTGTTATTCGCTAATTGATTCCATTCGATTTTGACCCGTATTATTCGCTAATTGAATCCATTCGATTTTGACCCATGTTATTCGCTAATTGAATCCATTCGATTTTGACCCATGTTATTCGCTAATTGAATCCATTCGATTTTGACCCGTGTTATTCGCTAATTGAATCCATTCGATTTTGACCCGTGTTATTCGCTAATTGAATCCATTCGATTTTGATCTGCGTATATAGCAATATATGCTTATCGCGATGTCTTTGACATCCCTAAACCAACCAATAGATGCAAAAATTCATAACAATATCATATTTCAGACAAATAATTGCTTTTTCGCGTGTTTAACATTCGTATATATATATTTATTTCAACCAACAGATGGAAATATTCATAAAATAGTCAATATGTCCGTCACATAACTGAAATCCCAAAATAATGTTTTCAAGCCCGCCAAAATGAAACGTTGCCCTTTTATTATCATATCTGAATTATCTGAATGCGTTTTTTTAAGCCATCGTTGAGTCATCAAGTTTCAGACTGAAGCCTTGAACAGCCTTTATTACTTGGGTATGAAAATCCACATAGGTTTCGAATAGAGCCGGTGATGTCATGATCAATATAAATATAAACCGTACTTCTAGCTATTTTAGCATTTGTTTTTAATGGTTTTTCTTTTATGTTTTGTTTTATTATATTTCGATTTTTTTTATTATTTTTTTTATAGAATTACTATCTGAACATTATCAATATAAATATAAACCGCATTTCTAATAAATTTAATCATTTGTTTTTAATGGTTTTTATTTTATTTTATTTTTTTGTTATTATATTTCGATTTTCTTTTCTGTTTCTGTTTTTTGTTGTTTTTGTTTTTGTTTTTTGTTTTGTTTCGTTTTTTGTTTTTTTTTTGTTTTTCTTTTGGTTTTTTCTTTTTTTTCGTTTTGTTTTTTGTTTTTTTGTGTGTTTTAAGAATTACTATCTGTACATGAGATCCAAGCCATCTTTCATCTATTAAACTTTTAAATTAACACTATAACACTAATATCGATTGCACTGCCCGGCCCTCTGAATATTTTTTACAAGGTACTAAGAACCGCCTTGCGAAGATCTTGCATCCTCCATAGATACAACAAAGGATTGGCAATTGCATTTATTTGTGCGATTAATTCGCATACATTTAACATCTTAAACATTTCCAAAGATAACTCATCTTGACGAAAAAACTGAGCATCTTTTACTGCTAAAATACTAGAAACGATGTATGGTATATGAAAGAGTAGTACACAAAGGACCACAAGAAGCATTGTATTGAACGTTCCTCGATATTTCTTGATATTGAACGCCTGGTTTTCTGTAGGCGGTGTTTCATTTGGAGCAGTGTTGGGTGACACTGATGAAGATAMCTTTTTCAAGGAGTAAAACGCTATAGAATAACAAGCGATTACGGTBGTCACCATCAATGCCTGATAAGATGAGGCCAATATAATAAGAATATGGAGTGGGAGACAGACCAAAACTAAACCAGGAATGGTTATAAGACCTGTAGCTATCCACCCAATTAGAAGAACCAATGCAGTACGCTTGAAAGTCACCACACGACGATACATGTTCTTCAATCGAATGGCCAACAAACGATCGACACCGATAATTGCTATAGTCAAGAGAGACTCTGCCCCCATCCAGTATCCAAGTACTTTAAGAGCAAGCCAAACGCCACAGTAAACATCCTTCAAATTCATTAGAACTGTGACGTTTTCGACGACACTCAACGGCTGTACGATCGCGCCCGAGAGAAAGTCTGTGAGAGCAAGATTTGCTATCAGAATGTACGAAGGCTTGTGTAAAGCAGGAGTCTTCCAGATCGTGTAGAGGACAAGAGCGTTCAAAAACGTTGCTGAGACGGCTGTTGTCGCGAATATCACTGATAAAGATATTCGATAATCTGGTAGCTTAAGATCAAACAAGTCGTAGCTGCAGCTAGCGTTCATTTTGTACAGTTATACTCTATTGAAAACTGAAAAAGAGATCAGTTTGAACGGTCGGGATCGTAATCACTTAAAACGACTGAAAAGAGCAGCCGTTAAATTTCAAGAATTCAACATGATTGTTTAACTTTCATCGCGCATACACAGGGATAATATTGACCCAAAATATTGCTACTGTAATTACATAATTTGCCAACTGCCCTTGTTTAGCCATAGGCTAATTGTAATCCTTCCGTTTCTGTAATTTAATCTACAGTCAATTCTCGTTACAGCAGACAGCCTCAGGACCGTCACTTCATATTGCAATAGCGAGAATTAATTACAGTCCTTTCTTTGTCATTATTTTGCCTGGGATTTTTCTTCAGTCCGTAATAGCGAGTTGTCTGTAATGTCGAGGTGTCGGCGGGGCTCCAAAGTAGTATGTATTAACAGCCAATGAAAAAAGCCCTGATAGATTACTTAAATTTATTTCGATATATAAGCTGTATTGATTGTAATACATCCTGCGTCGTGCTAAGCCACAAAAAGTAATTTAAAGATATTACTTTTTTGAGCGAAAGACACCAGGAACAAAAAGCGGGATACCATTACCTAGAGATTCTTTATTTATTTA